CAACTTCTCATGCCTTCTGGATTATAGTCCTTGTTATTTTCTATATGCTACATCTGTAGGTATTAGAATATTTCGAGTTTGTATAACTGGAAAATATTTTTCTTTTAGTTTTCAAAGGTAGTAAGTTTTTTGCTCACGTTTGCTAAGTATAAAATTCAATAAGGACAGATTTTTTTTTTCAGTCCTTTGAATAAATTAGTCTAGTTTCTTACCCACTTGCTCTTTTTTTTAATGTGGAATAAGATGCTATTTAATTTTGTTCTTCTGTAGCTATAATATTTTTTTCTATGTATATGCTTTAATTATTTTTTTCTTTACAATTAGTTTTGGACAATTACAGTTTTGTGGATCTTGGTATAATTTTATTCATATTTCTTGTACAAAAGGTTCATTTTTCCAGGAAATGTGCTATAATTTTAACTAAATTCAGTAATATTTAATTTTTAAATATTTATTCCCTATACCTTCTACTTTGTGAATTCTAATTATACGTATATAAGTTTCTTGATTTTGGCACAGAGAAAACTATCATATGACTGATCTGTAAACTCTCTCTTCATGTTTATTCTAGATAATTTTTATTGTTATATTCATTTAAGTTTGTAAATAATTTCTTACAATGTTAAATCTATTATTAATCTCACGTATTCATTTCAGAAATATTTTTCTAAAATTCACTCTGTCTACATCTTCTATCTTTCACATTTCAGTATTTGTCTACAATTTTTAATTTGCTATATAATTATTATTGATTTTCAATAAAGTACAAAAAAAATTATTAAATTAAAAAGGATTCTTTCCAAGGAACTACAATAAGAGAAAGTAACATAAATGTAGTATTTCCAAATTAGTATTAATTATATATGTAAACTCCTTGAAGTATTTATTTTACCAATTAAAAGGTATTTCTTTATACTCTTGATGAAAAAGCCATTTTACAAAATCAAATTGTCCTAGATATTCTAACAGCAGCACAAGGGGGATCATGTGCCATTATCAGACCACAGCATGTACATTGCCGACGACTCTGCAAATGTGTCCTCTGTGTGGGATGGTCTACGTTCACAATTCAGTGCAATATCTTACCTTCCATAAGTCTTAATGACAGGCTAGCATTCTCGCTCCCAGGAACAACTGGTGGGGAAAAGTTCTTCATTTTTCTTGCTGGGCACTGAAATTCTTATCCATTGCATACTTTACTATTGTTGGGGGCTAATGTCTCATATGTCCTTGACCTCTTTTTCTGACTATCAAAAGATGATGGTTCTTCAAAAGATGGAACCCAATATTCCCATGTCTCCTTTAAATTGGTCAGGACAAGACTTTCAGTCTCTGACTAGGGATCAAGGTCCCTCCTCAGCCTGAAGCAGTTACTGAAGAGGGAACACTAACCTTCTGTAACTCCCTAGAATAAGGGATCACAGTATTGGGATGAGATAGAATAGCAAATTAAAACGAGGTAGAGAGGAGACAAGGAAATCAAGATTTTTAAATTGTACTTTTAAGAAAAAACTGCAGCTTTAGACAAGGTCTTTTCTGGCTTCTGGGAGCCAACCTAGCAGATGACACCTTTTCCCACTCACCTGCAAACTGTCCTTTCCTCCAGCCCAAAAAGCAGCTGTTTTGGAGACAGTAAGTCTTAAATTTCAACAAATTGTTGTAGGCAGTTGAGTTAGATAGAAATATTATAGGCAGTCAGACAGGTCTAGGCCCTCCAAGGAAACAGCATGGAAGACAAGATACCTTGCAACTATAAGAGAGACAGATCCTCCTGCTGTGGGGCCAGATCTAAAGACCAAAGATCAAACAAATGCTTACCTGGGTTCAATCTGATGCAACAATGGCCCCACCCCAGGCCCACTGAGCTGGCCACCAAAACCAGTGTGGTGGCACACACCTGTAATACCAATGCTGGGGAGGCTAAAACAGGAGGATCACTACAAGTCTGAGTTACATAGTGAGACTGTGTACCAAATACCTAAATTAAAAGGAAAAAAAAAAAGAAAGAAAAGCATCCAGGATTGATTATCACTTTGAGGAAGCCAGGAAGAGTCACTAATCCCACTGCTACTGCTACTAGCTACTGGATAAACTCCTGTTCTATATTCATGCCCACTTGCTTTGTTACTCGCTTCCCCATTTAGTCTTGGATTTAATCAATTTTACATGAGCAATAGTGCTTATGATCTTATTGATTGACCATAGTTTTGTCCTGCTTCATGCCTACCGAGTTCCCATGTTCTCTACCTTACACCTGCCTCACCACATGGTTTTGCTCTATAAAAATACCTGAAAGAGAGAGCTTCCTGGGCAACCCACTTGGGTCCCCCTCTGTCCCTCTCTGACAGAAGCTTTCTTTCCCCCAATAAATATTCTGCTCTTAGCCTCCATTTGTTCCTAAAAGTCATTCTTCAGTTTTAGAGAACAGAAACTTGGCCCAGGTATCTTTCAGGTTGGGAGTTTCATTCCCCTATATCAATATCTCCACTTCAAACCCATATACGTGGCATGTAATATAACCTGGCAGACAGTGAGAATGCACATCCTAGAACACTCATCTTGAAGACTATCTTTCAATGTGTCTTACTCTTGCTTATAACTAACCTCACTTCTTTTAGCACATGCACTCAGGTTTGAGTGTGTCCAATATCTGTCTCTGATAAACACATCTTACGCTTCTTTTACTGAAAATTCCTTTTTTCCTAATGGGAGCCAGAGAACCTACAAACTTGTTTTGAAAGGGTGGATTAAATTCTTTATTTCATTCTTGAACACTCTCAAACCCAGCTCAATTAAACTATAACTTCTGGATAGAGGAATTTCTCCAAAAATGTAGAAGTAATTTATAAAGAATCAATCTCTTAAATGGGTCATAACACTGCAATTTGGTATTTCTGTTTAGTTTCTTCATATTATTTGATTTTAATTTAATAAGCTGACAGTAGAAAAGCTTTTATATATTGCCTTCAAACATTCTATATAATGTTGATGCATAATTCTTGGGTTTTGAAATTTGCCTATTTATAATTAAAAGCCTATCTTTAGCAATCTATCTCCTCCTTACTACTGAATGACTGCTAGTGCTACAAACACATCATAACTCTTAGTCGAAAAGCGAAGATAGAAAAGAGCCTGGTACTTAAATGAAAAATGATACAGGAGAAAATATAACTCTTAACCTGCTAGATGTCTGATGCACTGAATAGGTATCCCCTAAAAGCAAAGAATGAATTTTAAGGAATAACAGAGGTTAAGAGTAGAAAAAATTTATTGAGAGAAATAGCTTCTGAGAGACTGGAGGGGTCTAAAAAGTGAGTTGCCACTTCTCTAAACATGTGTTATAGAGCAAAAATATGAAGTGGGTACCAAATCACAAGGTAAGGACAATGTGATTCAAACTCTAATCACCAATCAGATTACAAGTACAGCTTTTTAGCTAATATTAATCCAACAGGGAAGCAGGTCACATAGCAAAGGTACATGAAAAGAGCAAAGGCATTTTGGAAATGAAATGGGTCTTGAAGTTCTGTTCATCCACTTGGGTGACTGTCATCTATCTGGACTTTCCTGGACCAGCTAATACCAATTACAGTATAATTCCAAATTACTGCTTATCTCTTAGCAAGGTGTGAAGGTCTGGCCAATGTATCTTTATCTTGAGGCTTGGTCTTCCTTTGACAGATGTGCCTCCAGCCATAATTCTGATGTCTTTATTTTTCTACTGACTTCCTTGAGAGCCCAATCCTTTTCTGACTACATATTAATTTCTATCTAACTTAACTGCCTATAATAAAAACAGTAGAAAAATGTATGTCCTTTTGTACTTTTAATTGAAAAGGAAAAAAAAACAACTAATACAATTAAAATATTTTGTCAGTTAGCAGATGATATACTTGATATACTAAATAAAAGGATGATTTTTGCTCCTTAGGCATAAGCTTTGATTTCTCATGTTTGATTGATTCAGGTTTAAACTTAACTATCCTCGTCTATCTTCCAAAACTAGGATTCAAAATATAAATGGAATTGAGAACCATTCTGAGTGGTTGTTGTGAAGCCAAATAGTTTCCAACTTGTAGAGTTCAGCTAGGCTTTATTATTGAGTAATCTACTGAAGAACTGTAAAGACAAAAGCAGGACTTCTCCCAAAGTTTCTGACACATTACATGTTCACTGACCTACAGTGACTCCCAATCTACAGAAAAGGACCTTCATGACTTCAGTCTACATTTCAGCCATGCTTAACAGAGCCTGTTTCTTTACAAAGCCTGTCTCTTTTTCTATAATGTAAAATGAATATATCCAAAGGCCTGAGTTCCTAAAGGGAATCCATACACTATCATTCGGGGATGGGAGGGAGCAAACTTAACTCAAAATTGTTTTCAAAGTGAATGCCTTTAGAGAGATGATTTCCCAGGTTTCACCCACCTCTCAGAAGGGTGTATCAAACAATAGTCTAACAGCTGCTGAACAAGTTTCTCCAACCCTATACCAAGAAGCCGTAGATGTAGTGCATAGCACAAAGTTTTGAGACACAACAGCCTCAGAGAGAAAACAAATTGTTTCCTGACTATAAAAATGGCTAAGAAACAACAATGAGTAAGTAAGTAGGATACTGACCCAAAATTTCCAATTTATAAGAGTAGTTTCCATCATGCAAGAAGACAAAAATAATTTAGGAAGCTATGCTATTATTTGACAACTGAGGTTCCCAGGAATTAAGGAACTGTCCTAGCCACACAGCTTGCAAAGGTCAAGGCTGAGCCTTCCTTTTGATGCCCTCTGCCCCACAAGGCATAACAGGATAGGGTCACATTCAAACTACAATGTAAACCTATGTCTAACATTAGCTGAAATATTGCTCAGGCTTGGGCCCACTAAAGAGAAATAAAATCAAAATGACATCATACGGTCATATAGTACCATAAAATATCATTAGCTTTCAGAAACAAAAGGTATTTAAAATTACCAAGTGACCTTTATGAGGTCCACACACTTACCAGACCTTAAGAAAGCAGGCGGAGAGGAGACGACCACATCAGGTGAGTTGGCCATTTCAAAATGTTGACTCTAATCATAAGCATCCCAGGCTAAACTACAGCAATCTTAAAACTGTTTAGTGAAAGTTAGAAGCAATCAGCATTAGATTAATTGAAAGCAGCATGAGCAGTTATTAACATGATGCAGTATGCAACAATAGGCAGTAATTGAGGATCATTATGTAATTTATTCTCATATGATTTGAAAATCTGATTTCCTTTGTTTGATAAATTACATTTGCTCATATAGATGAGGCAGAAAATACAATATCTATTAAACTTAAGAGTAGCATTCTTTTTGTAATGAAATTATGCTACTATGTAACGAAGTTATGCTACTATGTAACAATCATTAGAATTCTGCAAAGGAATTTATACTAGAGGTAGGTTAGTTCAAGATTCAAAACTGTTTATTCTTCTAAAGTCACAAACAAAATCAAGTTAAATGTTTTTAATGACAAAAAAGTGCATGATTCACTCAAGAACCTTTATTATCTATACTTGATAGAAGATTCTGTAACCTCAAACAACTATAAATTTAATAGACTGGCTTCCATTGCTATCTCTCTTTACTACTATGATATAAAGGCACATAGGAACATCCAATCCCAATGCTATCCATTCAGTTACTTTGCACATGAAAATGGATTTAAGCAACATAAGTTTAACAACAGTTAAATAAAACTTCATTTTTGTTCCAGTTAAGAAAGTTTTCAAGGATTACCATTAAGACATATATTTAAGAGGAGACAAACATTGGTGAAGACAATGAACTGTACTTATTAACAGTAGAGAAAGATAAGAAAAAATACATTTTGGGTGAAATGTTCAGTTCCCTGTAAGAAAACTCATTATTCTCTTCATTCAGACATAAACCAATAGCATTTTTCATAGCCTTAGATGCCCACATTGTTAGTAGCCAGCAAAAATACATGTGACCATTTCAAGAAACTATTGACTAAACTGTAGTAAGGACTACTTTTTTAAAATGTCTGTTAAACTCTGTAAATGGGAGTTTTACTAGAAGCCCAAGTAAATAAACAGAGAGCTTTCAAAATTAAAAAACAGAATTGGCAACAAAATGGTTTATGAAATCAGATACTTTCTACAAAATATTTATAAATGATAGAGAACAATACACAACTAAAAATTTTAACTAAAAACAAATTAGAAAAGCCCATATGATAACAGAGACATTAGTAAAGGGAGAAAGAGCAAATAAAGTTAACTTTCCTAGGTAATGCTTTTCACATCATCCAATAATGACATATAGTCATCAATCCTTTATAAAGAAAAGCCATCTATTGAAGGTTTGTCTTTCCACCATCTCAACTGTTTATTGCCATCCTTTTTGCTCAAAATTATATCCAGACTGCCAGAAGTGAAGAAGTTTTAATCACAGCTGTCAAAGGAGGTATCAGCCTCCAGTGCTAACTTTAAAGTCATGACTTTGCACTTTCAACAAGTCAGTTCAGGGCACTTGACACTTGAACTGACACTTGTTGGCATCTCTTGACCTCCATGGCCTTGGACTTGAAAACTATAACTGGAAACTACAGGTCCCAAGAAACTAGGCCCACTTTGTTCTGAGCCCTAACCATGCTTCACCTGACTCACTTTGTGGTCTCATGCTCTGGTCCCTCAGTATCTGTCACACAGGCTTAGGCTCAGAACTAAGTGGGGAACTTAGAAGGGGCTCAAGACATCAAGCAAAGGGCAGACTTCAACACTCAGAGGTCAGGTCCTCCGCTTATCTACATTTGAAGGGACTTGGTCGGAGGTACACACTTGGGAGGCCACACTTCCTCCTCGGAATCTGTCACAGCCTGATCTCTGGAGGGGTTGGGGGACTCCGGGAGAAGTCGGATTACCAATACTTTCCTGTGGCTGGGGGACAGACACAGAGCATAGAATTGAGACAGCCACTTAACGACTTTTGTTTTGTTTCTGAGGGAGGCGGGGTATCAGGTGCTAGGTCCGCCGTCGCCTGCTTTCTAAAGAGAAAGTCAGGAAACGCCGGTTCGGGACTACGACCCCCATCTGCCTCCCTCCCGAGGCGCTTGAGAGGAAGCACCGCCCGATTTGCAGGGTGGGTGGGCGGCACCCCAGCCGGCCAAACCTGAGCGCTTGCTCCGGGCTCTTCGCTCCAGGACCTTCCAGGTCACATCGGCCATGAGCCCGGCCGCCCCCGCCATGGCTGTCCGGCCGCCGCCTGGCCCCGCCCCGCCCCCCGGCCTTCTGTCGGAGCCGCCGCCCGGCCCCGCCCCCGCGTGCGACACTGTCGGTAGACGCACCGACCGGAAGTGAGCGCGAGGGTGCGCCTCACCCCGGTTCTACGTCCGCCGGGTCCTCAGAGAGTCTTCCCCAGGGCAGTTTGAAAAGAGAGTCCTTGGCGGTGGCTCAAACGCGCCTCAGGGCTGAGTGCGCTCCCAGTTACCCGCCGTGGGGTGCTTTGCGGTTGCCGTCAAGCGCGGCTACGGGCCGCGGGCAGGCCGACGGGCTGCCATGGCGGCGGCGGGCGGGCTGCAGAGCTGTTGGGCGCTTCTGGGGCCACTTCTGTGGGGGCTCGCGCTCCTGGGAGCTGGGCCGGTCCCGGCGCGAGCGCTGCACAACGTCACAGCTGAGCTCTTCGGGGCCGAGGCTTGGGGCACCCTGGCGGCCTTCGGGGACCTCAACTCCGACAAGCAGACGGACCTCTTCGTGCTGCGGGAAAGTCAGTGCTCGCCCGCCCCTCCCTTGTGCGCTGTCCGTGTGCCCTTCCCGGTGTTCCCCAGGTCCCTTGGACTGATGGCTAGTCCACTCGCATTGCCGAGCCCCTCTCCCAGCCCTGTAGCCTTCCTTTATCTCCGGCATCCTTTTCCGACTCCAGGTCCTGGTGCAGTTACCCCATGATTTAAGCTATCCCACGCCTATACTCCAGTATTTGTCAGGGTTTTTTGTTGGAGGGTTTTTTTTGTTGTAGTTTTGTTTTTTTCTTTCCTGAGAAGCTTTCTGCTTTCACCCAGCTGCCACTCTCTCCACGAAATTTTTCCCAAAGTCGTGATTCTCAGGTGTCTTTCTTTGGCCTCTACCTTCGCTCTTTAGGCCCCCTCATTTCGTTCTATTGTACTTAAATCTTCTTCCACTGGATGAACATAAAATGAAACCTGGAACATTCTTCTCATACAGGACTTTTTCTTGCCTACCCATTTATCTAATTCACCCGCCCCTCATTTTCTCAGTTTTCTTTGAAGTACAACACTGTGATACTCCAAAGCTCCCAGAAGCATTTTGCAGGAACCTTTGCCTCCTTAGGGGAATGTGTTCTCAAAGTACAATTAATTCATCAGTTGCCTAGTCTGTGTTGTACACCTGACTGTCACCTCGGTCTCCACCCTAGTCTTTCAGAATTTTCTTTGCTAATGTGTGGTTCTTGGAAGTTCTTTGCTTTAACAATCACTAAAATTTTTTGTAAATCTTGATGCTGAGTGGACATTAAAGGGGACCATTCTTCAGTGCAAGAACACATTGTTGCCTAAAGATCAGGACTATGAAAGGAGGAAATGAAGAACTGCTACAGAACTAGACAGACAGGATCCTGAGCTAGACTTAAGGACTTTAGCAGAATCCCAGAGCTTCTTTTCGCCACTGAATATTTTTCCACCTTTCAATGACACCCATATTGGAGAAAGGGTACAGTCTGCCAGACCTGAGGCTACACCATCCAAATGAAATAGACCTGCTCTTTGACTTCAAAGATATCCCATAACAATTTTAAAATTCTGTCCCAGTGAATGTTAGTTCAGCTCCAGTAAAGCATGGACTCAAGATAATTTCACAAGGTTAGGGTTGGGGAACATAATAGTACAATATATTATGTTTTTATTTGCTTGTTTTTGTCAGGGGAATACTATGGGTTGAATTCAAGATGTTTTTATGTTTTTTGTTTTTTGGTTTTTTTTTTTAAGTCTACCAGTGAGACTCTTGGCAGAATTTATTTGCTTTGTTTTGTCTTGATCAGCTGTGCTTTTTTGTTATCTTTCCATCGCTTCTTTAAACGTTAAACCTATTTTAGGGGCCCATTCCATTAGATAGGTAGAACCATCCTTGAGAGGGCAGATGAACTGGAATAGAATAAAATTTTTCTGGTTGACAGCAGTTTCCAGAAAGTTTATAACAATTTTGTGGATGTTAGATATTTTACCAGGAAACTTTTTTCTAATTATGTATTTCTTTCCTTTAGGAAATGATTTAATCGTCTTTTTGGCAGACCAGAATGAACCCTATTTTAAACCTAAAGTAAGGGTATCTTTAAAGTAAGTACAAGTGGATTTTTTTCTTTAAATATTAGTCTTCAGTGTAATATGCTAGTTGGATTGTTTCTGTAATCAGTCTTACTAATTTGTAATGTCGTGACATCAAAACAGCTAGTTAAGAAGAATGACTAGCAAATGCTCTATTGGAAAAAGTAGCAAAAGTACCAAAGTTGAAGAACAGTTTCCTTTAAAAAAAAATGAAATTTAAGTGAAATCAAGTCTGTTACAGTATAGGCACTTTTCATTCCATTGTGGTCTGTTCTTCTTTCCTGAAAGTGCTGGGAGTTGCCCCTTATGTTGACTGTGTGGTGGGGAGCAGTTCACAGATAGAAAGCTCATCATGCTAAGCATGTTGTACATACTGGGAAAATATCATTGACCTGTGTTCTGATTTTTTAATTGGCAATAGACGATGATTAATTTTGAAGGAGTTCAAATCAAGCTTTTGAGATTATCTAAATTTTTTTAAATGTTTGTTTCAAACAGAAGTTTCTAATTTTCTTTTTTTACAGTTGGTCTCACCCCCACCACATGATTGTGAGCTAACACAATTTCCAAATAACAAAATGTAAAAGTTGAGTGCAAGCTAGAGTAACAACTGCTGGACTGTCATGGAATTTGAAATTGACCATTGTGTGAATAAAATCTATTGAAGGTGTTTAAATTTGAGGGACATGGTATTTATAAGAGATGGCAGTAAAAAGACTTGTTCTGAACATGGAGCAGGAAGCTTTCTCTTGTAGAAGAGGGAGATACATTTGGAGTATTATGATGTGGGCAGACTATGATCTGTCATAGCTATAGTAAACTCAATCCCATGGGAGGAAGGGAATTATATTATAAATTCTTAAGAAAAGAGATGATGAAAACAGTATTTTAAATTGTTTTACTTGCTAACCATATAAAAGATGAATTGTTATATAGATCAGGGCCTAATGAGGAAGTTATCTTTTAAAAAATCCTATATCGGAACCTGGTGTAATGGTGTAAACTGTCTGTTCATGGATATATAGGTGACTTCCAAGATTGAGCTGTTATGAATTGTGCTGCTATACACATGGGTTTGCATGTACCATTGTAACAGGGTGTCTTTTAGTTCCTTCAGAAAGATACATAGAAGGTGGATAAATGGGTCAAATGGAATTTCTTTTTTTTTTTTTTTTTTTTTTTGCGAGATCACCATGCTGATTGGGGATTCATAGTGGTTGTACTAGTTTATAGTCCCACCAACAAGCAGAAGGATTTTTTTTTTTTTTTTAATTTTCACAGGCTCACCTGTGTTTGTTACTTGATTTTGATGATGACCATTCTTTCTGGAGTAAGATAGGCTCTCAGTTGTTTTAATTTGCATTTCTATAATGACCAGCATTGTTTAGCATTTCCTTCTGTATTTATTGGCCAATTGTACTTCGGTTAAGTATCTAATTCATTTCACTTGCCCATTTTTTTTTATTGAATCTTTTATTTGTGGAAGTTCAAAAAATTTTTGAGACATTTCTGTATTCTAGTTTGAGTTCTCTGAGGAATAGTGCGCAAAAACTTTTTCCCATTTTTGTAGATTGTCTTCACTTTGTTGGATGTTTCTTTTGCTATGAATAAGTGTTTTAATTTCACATGTTCCCATTTGTTGATTCTTGGTGCTATTTCCTTTGCAGCTGGGATTGTGTTCAAAAGGTCTTTGCCTTTGTCTATGAATTCATGTATTTTATCTATTTTATCTTTTGGAAAGTAAATTTTTCTGTTTTAACATTTAAATATTTTATTTTTATTTTAGATTAGTATAGAGGCTCACTTTTTTTCCTCATTCCTAATTTTTTTTCTCTTTTTTTTAATTTTATAGAGAAACAAACAGCAATGAGTTTCAAAACCAATTAGTAGGACAATTACAATGATTAGTACGTTGCATATTGTTGTCTTTGTAGTGGTTATTCACAGTACAAGATGCAGACATGATATCCTGTTCAAATACTATTAGTACAAATCTTTCTTCTCATTGAATTAAGAGAAAGTTGCAGTATATCTATCCTATTTTGTATATACAGATACAAAATGGTCCTTCATTTATATCCCCCCAGATATAAATGAAGGACCATTTTGCTTTGTCAGAGATAGGTATTCCATTGCCATTTAAATATTGCAGGTGATGCAAGGAGATGACTCAGTAGAATAAGCACTTCCCTGGCAAGTTCAAGGACCTGAGTTCAATCCCCAATTCCACCTAAATAAATAAATAAATAAATAAATATTGTAGGTGTGTGAATGCAGCAAAGTAATACAACATAGTGCTCTAGTCCATAGTAGTAGTGGGCTATCTGTAAGACTGGCAATGTCAAGTTGTTGACTTGAGCCTTTTACAGCTCAGCATATTAATATGGCTTTACTTTTTATAGCACGTTTTTATACTTTTTTGCTGGATAGTTAAGACCAAGATAAAGCAAGACCTATATAACAAGAAATGTAACTTTTGTATCTGCCAAGGTCGTCAAATCCCCTCAGGGTTTACCCTGAAACCCTGTAGTTTGTAGATCCTTTTTGAGTGTCAGCCATGTGGATGAGTCACGGCCATTGCTTGACCAATTTGTAGAGGCTCACTTTTCTCCAGTGAATGTTTTGACTCCTTTTTCAAACACAAAAAAGTTCAATGTACTTGGGGTTATTTCAGCATCCAGTGTAATGTTCCATATATCCTCATATCTATTTTTGTGCGAGTGCCATGCTATTTTTATCACTGTAAACTTTGTAATATAACTTCAAGCTAGGGATATGATGCCTACTACATTTTTCTTTTTACCCACAATTTTTTCACAATTCCACTTCTCTCCTGGTTCCATATTAGTTTTAAAATTGTTTTCTATAGCTCTGAAGAATTTTGTTTGCTTTATTAGAATTGCATTGAATCTGTGTAACATTTTTGAAAGTATGACTATTTTGAGTATACTGTATTACTTACTTCTATCCAGGAATTTGATATTTTTCCATTTTTCTGCAGTCCTCCGTAATTTCCTTCTTTCATTACTATAGTTTTCATTGTAGAGTGATTTCACTTCCTTAGTTGGGTTAATTCCTAAGTACGGTGTATTAATTTTTCTTGATGCTATTGTTACTATATTATTCCTAATTTCTTTCTCAGTGGGTTCATTATTCATGAAATGCTTTTGATTTTGTGTGTGTGTGTGTGTGTGTGTGTGTGTGTGTTAATTTTGTTTCCTGCAACACTTGTGAATTTGTCTATTAATCCTTGGAATCTGTTGGTGTATTTTGAGTTTTTTGTGTAGAGTACCCTGAAGGAAAAAAAGAGGGAGGAGATCCCAATTCCCCCCAAAACATAATAACAGGTCAGGAAAAAATGCTGTCAAGTGCTGTCCAGATAGCTCAGCAGACTAAAGCACTTGCTTAGGCAGACTCAGAAACCAGGGTTCTATCCCCAGCATGACATGTCGGTGGCACCCCCAGGACACGCTGAGATAGCCATTGAGACGGGGCATTGTGGCCCATGCCTATAATCTCAGCACTTGGGAGGCTGAACACAGGACAATCACTATGAGTCTGATCTTTATAGTGAGACCCTAAAGACCCTGTACTAAATACATTATTTAAAAAAAAGCAGTGAAACATAAGATTGCAAGTAAGTTGGCCTGCAAAGGTCTGCAGACAATCAAACAAGTCTAACAAATTTTAACTTGATAAACTAGTGATGTCTTACAATTCTAGTACATCACACAAAATGTCACATGATCACAACTGCTGGCCAGTGCACTGTCTCTTTCACACTGTTTTGATGTATAAGTGCTTTTGATTACAAGCAGAACAAATTATCATCACAAACCAAGGTTTTATTGTAATAAAAAATAGTGTAATGGAAAAAGAATTCAGTCCAAAAAATTTTTCTGTTTTTTTAATTAGTAGTTTCTAAGATCTGTAGTCTATGAGCCAGCTAGTCATGATTTTCTCTGCCTACCATGAGGGCTTGAACTCACAATGTCGCCCAGCCTGGCCTCAAAGCAATCCTCCTGCCTCAGCCTCCTGAGTGCTGCAATGATAGGTGTGGATCACTGCACCCAACTTGGATCTTGGGTGTTTGATGTTTCACCTCCTTATTCCAGTAGCCCTATGTCCATTTACCCCTGCCCAAGCCAAAGTGTGCCCTCCCTCTTGTTGGTAGATGGGCAACTGTGTCAACCTTAGTGTCTCTGCAGGAAAGCCCAGGGGCAAGGGTTTAGGTGGATTTACTATAGGCAGCTACGGAGTCCAGTTGCTTCATTTTTTTCCCTGGGCCTTATCATCATCTAGGGTCAGTCCAGTTGTTTCACCCTCATCCCTTAGCTGATCTCTCCTGCTAAGGCAAAAAAAATGTAGATCTGGCTTGCAGCTGGTGGATGCTGTACTCTTGGTGTGTCCGGGTATGTGGCACAGACTTGCTCACTCAAATCGAGGTAGGGCTTTTTGCCTTTTTCTGCTTTTCCTAATTACTTAACTGGAGTTCATTTTTCAGGGCATTACTGAGAAAGGGTGCATCGTAGGCTCTATCTGTCCATACCCTTTTTCTATATAACAGACTTGGGTGGGATTGTTGTTGTAACTTCATGCTTGCTGTTTGAAAATGCAATCATTTTCTTTTTCCTAATTTTTTAATATTGCTACATTTTTTAGTTTGGAACTATTAGGGACTCTGTTCTTTTTCTCAGATTTCATTGAAATGTACTTTCGTGTAACTTATTTTTATTTGTTGTACTGAACATTATGTGGAGCCCATTCAGGCTGGAAGCCTCTATCCTTCTAGACTTTTGAAGTATTCTTATATTATTTCTTTGATAATACAAGTATGCTTATATTCTTTGATATTATTATTATGTGTTTTCATTTTTAGGAAACATGACATTATTGGTATTCTAAGTATCCTTAGTTTCTTTATCTTATTGTATTTGCTTTTAATTTTTAAATTTTATTGATACATGTTTACATAATTATTATATTATCATTAGAAGTTGTTACATGTACATCACACATCAGAGATCTTCCTTCCTCTTCTCTCCCTCTCCCTCTGTTCATCTTTGTCCCTTTCCCATTTGCAAAACATATGTCTGTCTTTGTTCTTTAAATTATTTATACTTTGTTGTGGTTTTTTTGTCATATTGCTTTGTGTTTGTTTTGTCATCCAGGAGCTCAACTTTTCATCTCCTAAGCTTTCTATTAAGCTTTTTGGTGTCTGTCATATTTTAACTTCAAAGGTTTTCTTTTTTCTCTTACTGTTGTTTTCTCCTAGCTTGCTGTTCTGTTTTTATGCACATTCTTTGTTTTCTAGCCTCATGTGTAATTTTGAAGTTTTTTTTCCTTCCTTACCTGTTTTTTTTTTTTCAGGTTATTATTTGTTTTGGCTGCCTTTAGAATTTAGTTTTCTTCAAAAAGCTGGTGTCTATTCATATTTAAGTCATTGAAGAACCAGCTTGGCTTGACTTGTTTCATATCTCTTGCTCTGTGTATGCGTTCTTACTTCGTTGACATGTGAGGTATAGAGGTGAAGGTAAGGGTCCAAACTGCTTACTTTTATACTTTTCACTGACTACCAGTCTTAGGCTTAAAGCCAAAACCTGACCCTCTCTGATTCCTCAAATCCATAGTGCCTAAAACTTTCCAGAAATAAACCACTTAGCTTTTGTCTTGCTGAGTGAAAATGATAAGAGACTGCCACTGATGCATTTGGAAGATAGTTATCCGTACCCTAAGTCAAAGTTTTCTGTCTTGCTGTTTGCTCTAAGTGGAATTGAATATAAATTGAACATAAGCCCTATTTTTTGGTTGAGTCGTTCAGGCACCATTATAACAAGATGTTTTTCAATGATAATATAAATAATTTTAGAATTAAGTTAAAATATAAAATTAGGAACCAAGGAGATAGCTCAGTGGTCTAAGGGCCTGCCTGGCAAGTACAAGGACTCTAGTTCGATCCCCGGCACTGCATGCCACACCATCCCCACCCCAGGTGCGCTGAGCTGGCCATTGAAACCTGGTGTGGTGGCACATGCCTGTAATCACAGCACTGGGGAGGCTGAAACAGAAGGATCAATAAATACATAAAATATTTTAAAATACATACATATATATATATATATATATTTAGATGTGTATGTTTGCATAGGTATAAAAATACCCATTGTGTATCTACTCTATTTTCTGAAGTAAAATGTTACAGTTTGCTGTAAAGTTTTAATCTACATTAAAATCCAAATTAAATACTGCATAAATATCTTTGGTATATCTGGGTTAATCTTTGCTACTCAAGCATTAATTATTCCCCTTCCCCTTTTTTGAGCCAGGGTCTCGCTATGTAGTGCATACTGGCCTTGAACTCACCATGTAGCCCATCTAGCCTCAAACTTGTGGAGATTCTCCTGCCTTAGCCTCCAAATAGCTGGTTTTACAGGCGTGTACCTCTGCTTCCCCTGGCATCCTCCCATTTTTTATAACGTAACACCATCTAAATGTCTTTGCATCTTTGACAAAAGAAAAAACATATTAGCCAATGCTTAGACATAAATCAGGGGTGTTTTGTTTTGTTTTGTTTTATAGACCAGGAAAATTTATTAGAGAAAAGGAATGGGGAATGGGAGTAGGAAAATGGGGAATAGGAATAGGAATAGCTCCTGAAACACAGGAGGGCATCCCAAATGGGTTGCCCATAAATCAGTTTTTGATTATTTTATTTCAGCTATTTTGTTTTGTTTGTCTTCCTTGTGTTCACTTTAGAGCTCTTTTTGTACACTAGAGTGGTCTAATGTATAAGAGATAATAAGATATGAAGAAGAGAATAAGATTAATCAGTTTTCTGAAATATTGTAGTTTGTATTTTAAGTACGTAAAATATGTTATCCCTTTTGAAATAACTTGTATGATCATTTTTAAATGTTTTTTTTTTTCTTCTTTAGGAATCACAGTGCATTGATAACAAGTGTGGTCCCTGGGGATTATGATGGTGATTCACAAATGGATGTCCTTCTAACATATTTTCCCCAAAATCATGCCAGCAGTGAATTGGGAGCTATTATCTTCTGGGGACAGAATCAAACATTAGGTGAATGTGTGTTAGGCATTTTTAGTATTTATTATTAGCTGTCTAATGAAAAATGTAGAATATGCCTGATATTCTTAGGAAAATATGACAAAAAGCTTATTCAGAAATTTGTTCATAGGTGTCAGTAATCATAATGTTTTTTAAAAGTTTTGTTTCTGATTTTTTTTTCCTCAACCCAGAATCAGTGTAGAATCACTTCCAGAAAATAAAATATACTGTTGTTAGTTTAAAGGAGAAAGATTTCTCAAAGAGTTTTAATGACTTATGGCATTACTCGGATGACAAAAGAGGAAACTCTTCTGTTGAGCTCCTGAGCACAGTCTTTAGTGTCATCAGTGAAGCTGCTGCCTCTGCACTGTCTGAAGTAGACATTGGCACAACAGTTGTCAGGATGATTCTGTGCCTGCCATTTTTCTCACAAGAATAATGTACCTGGCTTCCTGACATGTTGAAGTTCAGTGAGTAGGCTTAGAAACAACAGAAGCACTGCTTTGCCCTCACTTGTACATTTCAAAGCACACAGTGTATCTGATGGGCAAGACTTGGCTTTCCTTTACTAATTCAAATGCAAAGGTATCAGCAAAATACTATTTTTGGTTTCTTCCTTGCACAAAAAAACACAAAAATTTGCAGTGGAAGTTTAGTGTCAGTCTACTGTACTCACTTATCTTTAAATTTTGTCTGAAAGCTAATTAATGATACCTAAATGGACAATTTTGTTCAGAGTACCAAATTCCAAGGGAGTATTAGATTGCAATTGTGTGGCCATTTGGAAGTACAACCCATTATTACAGTACTTTATATTCCAACAATAAATATTTAAAGAAAGTATAACATATACAAATTTTTGCTTGTATTTGAGCATAGATCTGGTAGAGTTGGGCAATTTTGCTTATATTGGTTTCTGTGTCACCAAAGCCTGGTTGTCACTTCTGTAATAATAAATTGTGTATTAAGGCTCAAACTAAAGATAATTAGATGGAAACCTCCAAAGGAGCTTGTCATGTTGGTCTGCACTCTAGAATAAACTCTGTCAATATTTGTTCTTTATATTGAACTTACAGTATCTCATTAATATTAATCATTGAAAAAATTAGATCTGAATTGTGTAAATAATGAAAGAATATTTCCCTCAGTGTAGATGTCAGAAATAATCCAAAAAGCCTGCTGATTTGCATGTATTCTCTTTGTAGATCCTAACAATATGACCATACTCAATAGGACCTTTCAAGATCAACCGCTAATTATGGAGTAAGTATATGTACTCCCCTGTAAATGACTTTAAAATTTTATGAAGATAAAATAAAAGTGTTACATAGGAATCCAGATTGCTAAGTACTGGGCCACTAAATTCATTCCTTAAAGTTGAGTGAGGCCTGTGCTATTGATTGTATGTTTCTCTTTGCCATGCTGAAGAAAAGAGAAAAATAAAATTCATTATTTTGAAAAAAAAGGAAGATTTATGTTTTTGTTTACACTTCAGTAGTTTCAAATAGGTTTGTAATAGATCTATATTGATGCTGCTCATTAACTCTGTTTGATTGACAGACACAAAAATTAACATTTCCTCTAGAAATTTAGAAAGATTTCTGTATTGAAAAATTCTTGTCATATTTATGAGTTTTATTTATTTATTTATTTCCTTAAAATAGACTCATGTGCCAGGATAATTTAATCCAAATTTCTGAGAATTTGGGAATAAGCTAGAGACTCTTCTTAAAACTAAAGCAAAGTATGTCCACATTCTTATTTTCAGTCATGCTTTTCTTATGATTATTAAAATCTTAGTCATAGGTCAATGGCTAGTGGAAGTCTGAACTATAAATTCATAATTTAATATCTTTAAAGGTACTCAACTTGATTATTTTAAATAGCTGTGTATTTTTTTTTAATGTTTTTGGGATAATCAGTTACCAGTATAAATTTTTATACCAGCTAGGCTATTGCTCCTAATTTCAATTTCAACAAATTAGGTCATGATTTTCGATTAAATTTCTAGGAATTCACACTGTTTCCTTGTCCTGCAGGAATAAGCTAGATTTTGCAGAGATTAGAGACAACCCCAAAATCTGGCAACAAATGTTTATTTCTTGTTTAAGTGTTCCATTTGGGCCGGGGACAGGCTCTGTTCTGTGCTACTGCTCAGTAAGCAGTCTGTGAGCTGCCCCATTCTCTTTTGGCTGGGCCATCTGAGACACATGTTCTCAGTATAGCCATGGCAGGCCTAGTGAGGACTGGTGGGCCCAGTCCCAGAAGGGAAGAGTTCTGGTTGTGAGTTGAGTCACTTCTGCTGACAATGCATTAACAACAACTAGATACTAACTAACATGTGTCTACCGTTTTTCCCAAAAGTATATGTTTTAGGTTAGGAGTGATTTTTTTTTTTTTTTTTTTTATTTTTAGGGAAGGATCTACAGCATGTTCAGGGTCTCACTACTAGATCAGACGCACAGTGATTCTCCTGTATACAGCCTCCCAAGTGCTGGGATTACAGGCACGCACCACTACACCCAATCTCAATTGCCGTTTTAGCGCACCCTGGGGGTAGGATTGGCATGACAGATCCGGGACCAAACCCTGGCCCCTGTGCCTGCCACTGAACTTTTTGGCTGGCCCTAGAAGTGATATTTTAATAAATCTGCTTACTGTTTTAAATGTTTCCTTTTCAGTTTCAATGGGGACCTAATTCCTGATGTATTTGGTATTACAAATGAATCCAGCCAGCCACAGATATTGTTAGGAGGGTAAGTAGTAAATATGGTTAAAATCATGCAATTAATCATATAAATTACTGCTGCTGCTATACAAACTGTGTATCTCTGTGAACTGATTGCTTTACCATCAGGGGGCAAAAAAACAGTTCATTAGAAATCCTTATTTTAAAAAAAGTTTTTTAAAGCATTTGGTGAACATAAAAACTTCTTTGAAGAGTTTGAATTTCATATGTCACTACTTTCTGAATAGAACTTGCTTAGTCTTTCTGGGCTCCTGAAAATTAGAGATATAAACTATATATGTCTCTATGTAAAAATTGATTTATTAGATGTTTCTGAAATTGGAACTGTTTCTTTTAAGTAGAATAGATACTAAAGTCTGAATTGGATCCACTTTAATCTTGTTAATTCTGAGATTGATAGCTAGATTAGTAGCTCCTAGTTTGATAGCTACTTTGATTGATAGGTTTTGTTTCTTTTTTTCAGTAGCTAATCAACAATTGTCTGGGAAATGTAACCAGTTCTCTTAAGTTTTTTGTTTTTTGGGTTTTTTTCTAAAAAAACCAAAAAAGCGGTGATTTGTGGTAAGCCTCTTATTATTCAATTATGTAATTCTTCAGAAAAACTGCCTGGAATCTTACATTTTAAATATCCCCACCATAATTCCTATTGGCCTAATACAAGAATTCATAGTACCAAGATTCTTTTCATATGACACCATCAGCTTGGTTAATTTTTTTTTTCAGTCCTGCTGAATAGGCAAGAATTAGTTGAGTATAGAACACATTTACTTTTATATTTCTTGAGGAAATTCAGAAAACCACCTTTATAAGTCTGTCTCACTTGGCTGTATGGAGATCTACTGAGTTTATGCTTTGAAGAAATACTGCTTTTATGATTAGTCTTTGACATGTATTCACAGGCTCACAGATGATTAAATTGTTAAAATGTAAGGTAAAGAGAAACTGTCAAATTACATGTCACTTTTTCTTAAAGTCTTACATAAGGAATGTGAATATTTTGATGCTAGTATAGTGAACTTTGAATTATTGTGAATCTTCTCTGAGAAAAACCATATTTTTATACCACTACCACTACCACCTCAGCTGCTATGTGCCAGAATACCTGAAATCATGTCCTGCTTTAGAGACAAATTGTTAGCAAATCCTGATGTACCTTGTGTCTATGTATATAGGGAGGTAGAGGAGAACTCACATGCCACTCACCACAGCAAGCTGAGAATGCTCAGGAAACCCCTTCCTCAGTTCAAAAGCAGACACAGGATTGAATAGAATGAGATGAAGTATAGCTTAGAATTTAGTGTAGTTGTGTTCATGTACATTTTTATACATTATTTACAGGTTTACTCCAAGATACTGGATTAATACTATTATTTCATGATATCCCTCATTTAAACTTCAGTTACGGATTAAATACTAGTAGCTAACCTTAATCTGAGTGGCAAATTTGAACCCAAGATTTTTCTGATGCCAGAGTCAAGAATTAATTTATAAGAAATCACAGAAAAAGTGTTCCTCAGGAGTGGGGGTATAGCTGAGGGTTAGAAAGTGTGCTTAGCATACACAAGGTCCTAGGTGACTTGCCTATACCAAACTTGTTTGTTTGTTTGTTTTTAAATGGCACTGAGCATCAAACCCAGGGCTTTCACACTAAGCTACATCTCCTACCCATTTTAAATATTTTCTTTTTTTTTTTTTTTTGAGACAAGATCTTTCTAAGTTGAAAGTTGCCCAAGCTGGGCTCAAACTTCCCATCTCTCTCTCTCAGCCTCCCAAAGTGCTAGGACTTACAGGTGTGTGCCTAGCTCAATACCCTACACCACCACGGGACATAACACAATTTATGTAAATTTCATCGTTAGAATGAATACATTCAACCGAAGGATGAATTTATCTCTTTTGAAACAAATATTGCTATGTTGCTAAAATAGGAAAAGTACATTTAGATTGTATGTTAGTCAGTTTTCTGTCGTAATACAAAATGCATGAGATAATAAACTTAAAAGGAGGGAAAGTTCATTTTGGTTGTTTCAGAGGTCTCAATCCATAGTTGGTTGCCACTGTTATTTTTAGACTTGTGATAAGAGTGAGCATCATGGTGGGGAGTGTACAGCAGTGGAGATCTACTTACCTCTTACTGGCCAGGAAACAAAGACAAGGGAGGGGCAGAATCCTAATATCCCCCAAAGGACACAGCCCAGTGACCTTCCTTCCTGTCACTAGGCACCACCTCACAAAGGTTGCACCACCACCTCCCAGTAGTGCCACAGGATTGCTCCACAGGCCATCAGCACATGGCCTTTAGGGATTCAACCACTGCCTTTGGGGGACATTTAAGATCCAAATATAAAATGCCATATCAGTTTTATAAATGACAGACATAGGCAAATGTATATAGGTGAAACAACCATTAGCATTGACATTTTGGACGGTAGAACTCTATAAGCTCATCTGGTTAATCAAGAAATCTATCTTTTGCAACTTCAGTATCATGCTTTATTGGAAAGCCAGACCCAAGATCAACTTAATTAAATTTACCTAGCAACTTAGATTTATGGGAAAATTTTGATGATCTTTTAATAGAGTGTTCAGTGTTTCAAAAGAATTGTGCTGGAAAGCCTCTGATTGTAACCTGGCCCAGTACACACATGAGAATAGATTGCCCTCAGTTAAAATAGCACAGCCATTTTGGATGAAGTAAAAGTGAATATGGTCATCTCACATGCAGTGTTAATAAGTAGAGGAATCCCTTGTCATTGATAGGACAAGGTTTACCTGACAGGGACAGGAAGCTAGTTTCATAAAGCTACTAAGGTACAGGAGATAATTCAAAGTATTAAGCAGTCAAAAAAGAAGCCTCAGTTTGTTTCTCAGACTCACTTAATGATGACTTGATGTCATGTAATAATATGCCACATCGCTTACAGATAACACTAGCTATTAAGTGTGCTTAGGTATTAAGTGTTAGAGCAGCTTCTGCAGTGATGTGAGGTCATTGTTAATGAGCATTTTCTATAAAAGGGTATTTGAAACTGATACTGTGTAAGCATTTGGAATATTGGTGTAGTACTGAAATGAAAATACTTGTAACTATGATTTTAATCAAAGGCAAATATAATGTCATTCTGTTCATGTTTATTATGAATCATATATTAAATTCAAACACATTTCTGGGTCAGGCCCAAAGTTGTAAACTTGGTGTTATTAACACAAATATAAAAATACATTGGCCTACTCCATTCTACTTCACAAATGATTGCAATAAAGTTTTGCATGTAGTATTAGTGACAAAAATAGCAACAAACCTTTTATGTTTATAAAACGTTTAAATGGCACATATTTGTACATATTAATGAGTTACTGTGTGATGTTTTAATGCATGTGTACAATATGTTCTCTGAAGCTCAGAGTTAAAGGGAAAAGAAAGAGAACCTTAAGCCAGTTTGTTTTTAAAAATGTTGATACAGTTGTCTCTGAGGTTGGCACTTTACATCAGTTCTCCATTTTGTTTTTTTGGGTTTTTTTTTTCCTCAATAGATCCCTTGTGTGAGAAATGGCAGTTAGAGAGGCTAATTCAAAGGTTAAGTGTCCATTCCAAAATCTTAAATAGTAGATCTAGGACTTGAATTTGATTTTCTAAATTCTAAAACCTGTGTTCTTGGAACTCATTTCTCCTGTTCTATTGTTACCATCATTATAGTCACAGAGTCTCTTTGGTAATTCTCCTTTCTGAAGCATCTTTCCGTATGTAGAGCTACCTTGTATTTCTTCACAGTATAGTAAGTTTTCTGGGGAGTATTTTCACAGATGTAGCAGAAACTGCATATTGCTTAAGGCCCTGTGCTAAGCCAGGTGGGGTGGCACATTCCTGTGTCCTCCCAGTACTCTGAAAGGCTGAGGCAGGAGGTTCACAAGTTTGAGTTCAGCCTCTGAGCAGGATAGCAATTTGAGAAAACCCATCTCAAAAGGAAACTGATATGAACATGTAGCTTAGTGTGAAGGCCCTGGGTTTAATCTTCAACATTGTTAACCAACCCCACCCGCTCACACACACAGCACAGAAGTTAAGTAGCACCACTTCTGCCACTTTCTGTTGGTCAAAATATATCAGGGCACTAAGATTCAGTGCAGCAGTGTGGTAGGGACATAATAGACCAGTGAACCTTTTAGAGCTTTCAGTGATACAAATAGCCCACAGAGGCACATGTGCCATAGGTTCACCACCACTGTTATCAACTGTACCCCTTGATATAACCATGACAAAATTGAAGTATGAAAGACCCTATGAAATAGGAAATAATGTCATCCATCTTTGGAAGCACAAACAGCAGGTTGTGTTTATTTACATAGTAAAGTCTTGGAGAATATGCAAGCAGAGATTATTTTAAGGAAATCACCTTCTAGGTGAGTTATCTCCAACACTACTTTGCCTGTTTTTGTTTTTTGTTTTTTGAGTCAAAGAGGACTTGTTTGTAGAGCTGTATATAAGATATAGTTAATGCCATATAAATAACTTTCCAAAATATTTTTATTGTAACATTAAAAACAGGTTTAAAAAAAGCCCTCAACATTGAAATGCATGAATAATCCCTCTAACTTTCTCCTCCTTCACATATACTATATTTTTTACTCCTCTTATACCTTAACTCTCAGTCACTTCTCAATCTGTGTGAGACACAACACCATAGGCAGTCACTGCAAACCTATGGCACTGCCATGGTAGGCTATTTGTTACCTTGATAGCTCTAAAAGGTTTACCATCACAACTCACTGCCCTAGAGATGTAGTTCATGAGGAAGGCCTGGTGAAAGGAACTGGAAGAGGTGACTAGGAAATAGAGAGGGGAGATATGGGAGGGAATCCACCTCAGATCATGTGACCACCTCTAACCAGGCCCCACCACCATGTAGCCCCAAGATTTAATCACCTACAAACCCCATGTAAGGCCTTGGGGATGTCAGTGTACAAACCATAGCACACTAAAGGTATCTTTCCTGGAGAGTAAAAACT